GGGAGGAAACCGAAGCGGGGCTGCCTCGGCAAATAGGCGTGTGCTGGGGTGTCCCCGCGGGTGTTGACATCCGTGTAGGGTAGAAGGAGGAACAGCTCGGCTGAGGAGCGCGGAGTGCGCCGGTATCGCGGGGCGTTGGGGGCACCGCCTGCCGAAACGCCGCTGCCCTGGCTGCCGGGGGGGGTCTTAACGCCTGTAAGAGCCGGCCAAGTTTTGGGTTAAAACACGATTAAAATCTATCGCTCTCCTTCCTGAAGTTCAGCAGTTCTTTGCAGCTGGCTGCGCGTCGCCGTGTTTCACAGGTGCCTTCCAGACCGAACTTACTCCGTGGCATTTAGTAGCTTATTATCAAAACTCTCACAAACAGCTTAACAGAGCTGCTGTTTCCGTGGTGTAAAAGTTGGCAGATCAGCCTGCTTCGCCGGTCGGTGTGCTGGAGCAGACAGCTTGCTTCTTCACTGAGCGCTTAGCACATTGGAAGGGAGAGAGGCCTGGACGGTTTGTGTCCCTGGCTGTCACTAGTCGCTGTGAAGTATCTTCACAGAGTTATTTTGTTAAATCTCATGTGCAGCCAACGTTTGGGGGGGCGAAGCAGCAGTGAGCAAATTAATATTACTCATAGTGGACCTAGCAACGCTAGCTGTTGGCATCGTGTGATGAGAACGGTGGCGTGAGCACTAGCTGTGCTGAAGGCAGCTTTCAGAACCGAAATCTCAACGTGGGCATTTGTGCCTGGCTGTTTGTTTAAATACACGTTTATATTAGTGTGGATCCTTAGCAATCATTTTGTGACTTCGTTCACAAGCTCGACAGACCGCTTTCAAAATCTTGGGTCCTTGGCTGTGTCATGCATACGACAAAAGGAAAATACTCTGAATGTTGAGGTTTTTGAATTGTTAGAATCTGAAATTGACTCTAAACCAATTTACTTGTATATTTGGACTCTGAGACTCCAGAAACTGTTAGGAGTAGCCTAAACAGGTGTTCTGCTACCCCAGACAGCTGCGGCACAACTTTGGTTTTTTTCCAGAAAATGAAAGTCAGAAACAAACAGCAGAGATTTCCATTTCTGCTTTTCCTAATAACATACCAAATGTTTCCTACTCCACATACTTTAAAGGATATGAGAGGCTTGACTTCCTTTTCATGTGGAACAGTTTTTAGGCCCTACCCAGAGGGATTATTGAGAAGAAAGTATAAACAATTGCACACCTTTATTATCTCTGTTTAAAAGACTTTGTGCTAGCAATTTGTGTTTTAATTCATCAGTCATGTGCAATGTATTTGTTTTTCTGTGCTGCTTAGCAAATGTAAAAGAAAAAGACCCACCACAAGAAAAAGACACCCAAAACAAAGTTCCCAGATTTTTAATATCCTTTTTTTCTAATTATGTTACTGTCCTCTTGCTCTACAAAAGTAGTCATATGATGACTAAGGCATGAAAAGTAATCCTGTGGATTTTGTTGCAGAAGCAGTTTGTGCTAACATGGTCTTCAAGCAGCCTGTCTTGATACCTGTGGTGATGTAACTCAGGAGGTTATAGGAAGTGCTGTTAAGTTATTCATTACCCTGTATTGGTTTTCCGTTCCATTTAAATGAGTAGTATATCTTTACTCTTGAAAATTAGATAATAAAGTCTGGTATACTTGGGAGTCTGCAAATGCAATGACTGCAACTCAGAAACTGGTTTCACTACATTACAACATTTTAAGCTCAGAAAGAGACAGTTTGGCAAAAAATAACACTGCCTGAAAGAAGAAATAGTGCACTGTACTGACAAAGCCCTGAACTGTGACACGTTTAAAACAAGAGGGTATAGTGAATTTATCTATAGTAACTTCTAGGTGGTAGAAATATCAAAATTTTTGTTTGTTTTAAAGCTGTTACAAATGGAACTTCTGGGGCCTGGAGTTTTCTCAGTCATTTGCCAGTACCATCTGCTTTTTCAAAATACTGAGTTTCAAAGCCCCATGTGGAAAGCTGGTTTGCTGTTGAGCTTTTTGGATAGGATTTTCTTTGCTGTTCTATACCCATTGTAAGTAGGTGTTCTGGCAGTTGTAGTTTTAAAATACAAATGTTTTGTTTGGTTAATAAGGGGCTGTATCAGAGTCTAGGTGGGATTTTGTTGGGGGTTTATTTTTTGGTCATTTGTTTTTAGCATTTTTTTTTTTCTGTGGAGTATCTTTTAATGGTTACTACTGTGGCTACTGGGTTTTTTTGTGCCGTCCCACAGGATGAATGTCCTTGATTCGTGAGTAGTAATATAGAATAAGTAGTGTATAATAACAGCTTAAAAACGTAGGATACCTACTTCTATAATAAGCCTTTGGAAATTTTCTTTAGAAACTGTTTTTAGAAGTTCAGTTTTACAGACTAAGTAGAATCCTCTTGTGCAAGGCATTTGGTCATGAAGCATATGTTCTCTTTGACCAGAGAATGGGGATGGAAAAATAAATCTCCTTTGACTTGTAGTTTAAAAGACAATGTAAATACTCTGTTGCTATCAGTTTCAAGTAAATTTATTTATAAACAATAGGATAGAAAAGGAAGTTAGCCTTCTATGACATCTATTTAAAAATAATTTTCAATACCTTGTTTTTATCTCTCATGTCAGGTCTACTGGCAGTATTTACTTCCATACATTTCTTGTGCAAAGTTGGCTATATTTTCTAATTTTCTTGTCCGTTACTGACCTAATTAAAACTAACTTTGTGTATGAGCTTTTCACAAATACTCACTGTGCTGTCTTCTTTTCCTTCTAGGAGTATATTAAGGGACTCTGTGAACCTGAACTAGAAGAAAAGGAGTACTACCCAAAGGACATGCACTGCATCTTTGTTGGTGCACAGAGCCTTTTTCTCAACAGTCTTATTCAGGATACCTGTGCTGATATAACAGTGCTGGAAATAGGATTGCTGAGTATTAAGGGGGGTGCAGAAGCTGTTGTTATGGCTCAAAGTCATGTTCAGCAGTTTGTGAAGCTCTTTGAGAATAATGAAGTCTTACTAAGTGACAATGAATCGGGGATTAAAAAGCAGTTCAGACAATTTGTGGAAGCACATGCAGATAAATATACAATGGATTTACTGATTTTACCTAGCTCATTAAAAAGAGAACTCCTAGCTCTCACACAGTCTGCATGTTGTGAAGTGGAGAGCGATATTATAGATCTTACAGGTTCTGAAAGCCCAACAGAGTTTTTACACAACACATCCTCCAAAGTAATCTCTACAAACAGAGATGGAATAGCAGGTGGTGAGGAAGCACGAAACAATGCTGGGACACCTGTAACTGAGCTCACAAAACAAATGGACACGGTGTTTTCTGATGCTCCTGAAGCAAGTTTTGTTCCCATAAATACTGTGCCTCTGTTAGAGGCAGTGGTGCCTAAAGAAAGGCAGTCATGTAAGAGAAGATCTTCTGATGATGAGGAAAGGCTGCCTAAAAAGCAGTTCTCTCTGGAAAATGATCAGGAAGTGGAATCTGCTTCACACAGTAATCCTTCAGACTGTGATGCAGTTATTGATCTGCTTTCAGATAGCTGCAATGAATCGGATGATCCCAGTTATTGCCTTAAAGAAGGTGATGATATCAGTGAGGAAATGGAATATAAGATTCTTGTGAACTTTTTCAGAACAATGGGATATTCCCAAAATATCGTAGAAAAAGTTATTGGTATCCTAGGGCAATCTGTGGAGCCATTAACATTGCTGGAAGAAATTGAAAAGGAAAATCTAAAATTTCAGAAAGAACACGAACAGCCATCTCAAAAGCCTAGAACTATCAATCCTCCTTTAGGAAATAATGCAAATAATTCACAAAAGCTAGAAGACAAAGGCATTTCTAGCAATAAAAGCCCAATTAAATCCAGTCATACTACAAAAGAGAAAAAAAATGAGTATCACAGAAGAAGAGATTTGCCAAGCACGCAAGTTGATGCAGAAGATAAAATGCATATGTTGGTATGCAAACCTGCTTCTCCTTTCAGTAAAAATTCAGCTATGTGTTATAAACAAGGAGATATTTATTGCCCTGGTAAGATTCACAGTTCAAGGTCAAGTGATATAGAAACTGATGGTGGTGTAACTTTTGGCACTGTACAAGCTGGAGCTCCAAAAGATGTTGACTTTGTAGCCAGAGGGAGCTCAGATGTGCAGCATATCTCAGCTAAGACTAAAACTGCAGTTCAGCAAAAATCTGCAGGGCCCTTGACTGTACAGAATACTCATCCTGGCTTTGAGGACCGATTAGGACACTGCAGCTCTACTTCTCAAGTAAGATCTGTCAACAAACGCCTTTCCCAAACCTCAGATTCTGAAAATCCTGTCCCAAACCAAGTGTCACAAACGCATCCTTCACATCCTGAGAGAGAGACAGTGGGACCACGCAGATATCCTCCTGATCCTTCAGTTACTGGAGTTCAAAGATTTCTGGAATCTCTGAAAAAGCCATACAGACTGGAGTTGAAAAACGATCCTGGGGAACCCTATTTAAAACACATCATTATTGATGGAAGCAATGTTGCAATTTCGTAAGTGGTGTTCTTTTCAGCTCTCTCTATTACAAGTTCAGTGACCTTTCAGAGGAAATAGGGGCTAAGATGTTGCTGTGAAATGTGTCAAGTTTTTGCTAGCTAGCTTTTTGACAGTAGCCACTTTAACTGCCAACGCATGGCAGTTTTGATGGTTTTTCTGCCCCCTTTAGTGACAGCATTCAGCTTTGACTGACTTGGGTGGAGTTACTATTCCTTGTTGAGATGCTGTGCATAGGAGGACATTCAGAAGTTTTTAGCAGGTGCACTGTATGGTGCTTACCTCAGTATGCAAATCCAGCTAGAACAGTGTGGTGGTGGGATATGCTATCATGAAACAATTTGTGTAGACATTAACAAATGCAGTAACTGGTTAAAACAGAATAAGGAAAATCCTTGATTTTGACTTAAAAATTGGTTGGTAACTGCAGTACTCTGGAGAGTGTTTTCTGTAGAGCCTTTCAGGACTCAAGTTTCCTGCTGTGCTGGATTCAGTCAGGA